CATTTAGATTTCAACTTTTGATACAGTTTAGATACGCTCCAGACATGGATGCCATTCTGATACTCATTCAGATTCAACTTTCAGATATAGTTCAGATACGATCCAGATTTGGATGTCATTCTGTCACTCATTCAAATACAGTCAAGATACAGATGCCATTCTAATACTCATTCAGATTTCAACTTTTGATACAGTTCAGATACGCTCCAGATACGGATGTCAGTCTGATACTCATTCAGATTTCAACTCTTGATACAGTTCAGATACGCTCCAGACACGGATTCCATTCTGATACTCATTCAGATTTCAACATTTGATACAGTTCAGATACGCTCCAGACACGAATGCCATTCTGATACTCATTCAGATTCAACTTTCAGATACAGTTCAGATACGATCCAAATTCGGATGTCATTCTGTTACTCATTCAAATACAGTCAAGATACAGACGCCATTCTGATACTCATTAAGATTCAACTTTCAGATACAGTTCAGATACGATCTAGATTCGGATGTCATTCTATCACTCATTCAAATACAGTCAAGATATGGATGTCATTCTGTCACTCAAATACAGTCCAGATACAATCACCTCTGGATGGCATATATAAGCCCATCTCTAACAACTGTCCATCATTTCTCCAAATGGAATCTTTAAGCCCATTCCCTATACAATCAACCACAACATCATCGAGTGCAAATTTCTGGGCACTTAAGTGTTCAATCGTCTTCCACCTTCAAGTCACGAATGGCAGATCCGCCAATCTAACTCTTCAAGTTTAAGAAGATTGAACAGGGGCAGCTGTTGTACCCCAAAATTTGCCCTCTCATTTCTCAAAGGATCACCCTAAACCCTCAGGTTTTCTTCCATCCAATTTCAAGCTTTGAATTACAAAATTTTCAAGAAAGTCATTCACAAGGGCAAAATGGTCATTTGCACACTAAAAAGTCAAACTTTGACTTTTGGATCAAAATCAAGTTTCAAGAATCATATTTCAGCAAGACATGTTAAATATGAAGTTGTTTCATTAAGAAAGTCAAAAGTCAAATTTGCTATTGGAAAAGTCAAATTTCTAAATACTTAGAATTTTTTCTAAGTGTTTAAGAAATATGACAAGCTCATAACTTTTGATCAGACTATCACCATGATGCAAGTTGATTATGGATTAACTTCTAACACAAGAGTTATGGACTCAAATAAGATCTAAAACATTACAGAACAAAACTTTTCCTAGAAATGCTGGGATTTCAAGTTATGACTCCTCAAAGACACGTCCATGAAACTGAAGCACTCAGCAAATTCTGGACAGTTCCAAGACAGAGTTTGGTTAGAACTTCTGGGCCAGTTTTCACAAAGATTCAGGTAGAGTTTGCAAGGGTAGTTCAAAAAAGGTTTACAAAGCGTGTTGCAAGCTTCCTGGAAAGTCTGAGAGCTCTTTCAAAACATGTTAGAACAAGGAGATACAAAGATCAGAAGTTAGATGTCTATTCTAAGTTACGCTGAAGCTGAACTTCTAATTCAGAATTAATCAATGATGCAAAATCTCATATTGCAGGATTTCTAGTTTGATCAACCTCATCATCATTTAATGCTCACAATCACTTTTGAGTCTTTATCCAAAGGATTTCCCGACGTGTAGCATAGAAGTACCTTTACTGTCTTGGAAAAGCAAACTTTTGTACAAAAATGTGCTGGGCCCATACGATGCTTTTGCTTTTGAGGTTAATTTTCCTTAATTCCTGCTTAAAAATTCAGCTTAGGCACTGCTAAAACTGCTGACCACCCTACCTATTTGAAATTACTTTAAGAGCAAGTCAGCGCCCAACTTATGATAGTGGTGCCCCTTGACCTCTCCAAGCGACTAAACCTTTTCCTATAAATTAGACCTTATTGGCAATTGTAAAAGGGTCAAAAAATTGAGAAAGAAAAAGCCTTGAACCCCTACTAAAATTCCAAGAATCCAAAACTGCAAACACAAAATACAAAACCTGTTAACTTTTGATTTCTTGCATTCAAACTCCTTTTTTCTCAAATGTTTCTTGACCAAAACCGTCCATACAGTTTCTGATTCACATATTAGAAGCTATCCTAACTTCTGTGTTCAGACTGTAATATACTCTCCATCCACATCCACCTCAAGAAGTCAGAACTTTACACCTTGGCTGTTCCATAATTTTTTCTAATCATTTTTTGCCCAACTTGAAAGCTTTCCGCCTGCTGAGTACGTGAAGAAGCTGTTCAGAACATCACCAGAATTCAGAACCAGACTCCAGTTCACAAAGTGTTTTCCAACTGCAAGGTAAGCTTCTGCTGACTCTCATCATACCACCTAGGCATTATCAGATTTACATGTTCAAAAATACAATATAGACATCATGTTTCTGATGCTGTACGCATTTTGAGGTTTTACGTATTTGTATGCCTAAGTAGGGAGTAAATTAGTTCAGAACTTCTTAAGGAAATTAGAATTAGCAAATTCATGCTTGCCTCTGATTTATAGTTCTGATATCTCTTGTTTCTGAAACACTATGAATCTTGCCATAACTGTTATATGCGCATCTTCTGTTCTATTGAGAAATGACTAAGTTGCAAATGTTCTGACTAGCATGGAGAGGGAGACTAAGTTCTTCCAGTGGTATCAGAACTTCTGAAATCTTCTTTGTTCCCAGTGGACCCAAAGCTTCTGACTTTACCTATTTTTACTAATATGATCTCTGTCTTGCAGCACGCCAGAGTCAAAACTTCTGATCTCATTTAGTCAGCAATACGCTGATCCTATTTTCTTTTTCCTTACTATTTTTCTATCACTTCTTATTTCACTAATCAAAAACACCAAAAACATTTTACATTTTACATGCTTTATTTTATTTCTTAAAACAAAAAGATCAAAAATATTTTCTTAAACAAAACTTATCTCTTTTCTGAAACAAAACAAGTTCATTTCACATTTTCTTGTACATTCTTATCCATTCAATATGGTTGTAATAGTAATTTAGGATTTAATTTTATTTGCAATCCCCATTTGTAAATTTGTACACCCCCACCCCCCTAATGATTGTAATAGCGTAGGATATTTACTTTCTGCACTTTTATTGCTTTCATATATTGCTAGTAATTAGGGTGCGTATGGCAAGATATGAAATCAACAAATAGAGAACCCTAATCCAAGACAAAAACAAGCATGAACACAATACATTTACACACAAACACCCCTAGGGTTATTCCACTTGGTTGCCTTATACAAAATGGTCATATTACGCATGTAAGGTATCTTAGCCAAAACAAGCAAATACAAGATCATAGTCCCTCAATGACACTATCTAAGTTGCCTTACAAATGATCTTAGTCCCTCAACAAGAATGCTAAGATACCTTGCAACATTACTAATCATGGTTATACGATGACCCACGTCCGTCCCGTTTACATCCAAAGATGAGGTTGCTTACCAAATCAATGGTAAGACAACAATGTCAAAGGAAGAGAAAATGAACAAGAAAGACATTTGAGTAGGTAGATTGCTCCTAATTACTTGCTCCATTTCAAAACAAACATTCTTGCTACATTTCAAAACAAACAAACACACTTTCAAACATCTTACAAACATTGAAAACATTTTCAAAAGATTAACATCTTTGTATACATTCTTATAGACAAGATTCATTACAAAGATTGCCTAAACAATGGCCTCTTTACAAAATACTTTCAAAAAAAGACACAAAGCAACATTTGCGATAAAACGCAAAACCCTCAAGTCAGTTCTCCCACCGTATCACACAAGACATCAAATTTTCTTATATGATAGATATAATAATAATAAATTTATTAAAATATATGAATTAATTACAATGCTGTAAAAAATGATATACAATCAATACATCATTTAGGGGATCAATTCTTAGTTGAGAGAACAACGTTCGACAAGAACTCAGACTTTTGATGCACAAATTAGATTAATCAATTTACTAAGTGGGTCAAAATCCGATATAAAAATCTAAAAAAAAATATCATCATCCATTTACATTATTTTATAGGTAATTAAAATTAAAATAAATTTCTAGCTATGATTAAGTACTATGTAAAATATTTTTACAGAATGTTTAGTGCTTCAATTAAATTTTAAATAATATGTATAAAAAAACAGATATGAAACAAAAAACTATTATATAAAGTGACTATAAATATAAAAAGCGAGTCTAATAATTAGAAATAGGTGCATTTTATTACATTTTCTATTCTTAAACTTTACTATTAAAATTCTACATTATATCACATCCAAAATTAGAAATAAAACTATTGACATTATGTTGAATAGACTATTCACCGCTACAGAATCATTTCTGATGCCATTGAGTGCAAACTGAATACACTATTACTGCTGTATTTCATAGGAAGAGAAGAGATACGTTTCTGTTACAAAGAAGACAAAAAACTGAATTACCAGAAAACCCATCAAAAATACACTTTTTTTTGAAATTATCAGGGGCAATTATGTAAACTACTTCCCTTGCCTCGAAAGTCGCAGAAGGCTCGAAAGAAAATTCTGTTAGAAATGTGTTGAATACGGTTTTCCCTCGCACCAAACACACCCTCCGCATTGCCACTATATAAACTCCGTCTTCAACCTCTCTCTCTTCCAAGCTCCAACCGTTTTTCTCTTTCTACATTTCTCTCTCTCTCTAGAGAACTTCAACTCACCTTGTGAAGTTGAAGCTTCTCTTCGTTTCTCATCCTTTTTCTGTTACGATCCAGTTTCTTCTTCGGTAAACGCTTTCTCCTAATTCATCTTCGAATACTCTCGTTCATAGTTGTTAGCGTTTTCGATTTCAGTTATACACTTTCTTGAATCGATATGCGAAACTGTTTCTTGAATTTACAATTTATTGATCTGAAAATGTGAATATTAATCAATGCGTAAATGATTCTGAATTTCTGATAATCGATCGTCTCGTCACGTTTCTGATTTGTTTTCTGGTTTTACAGCATTATTTCACCGATCAAAATGCATAACAAGGACGTTTGTTCTCCCTCATCTCAAAGCGGATTCGGCGTCCACCTCAATTCCAACGCCGGCGCGTTTGCTTCGTTGTACTCTGTTCTGACTAACGAGCTCTCCGGAAACTGCAGCAATGGCGGAGGAGCATCAGCATCGCTTTATCCGTACTCTGACTCTGGAACTGATTACGACTCGTGCGTGAACGTGATACAGAAGCATCAGGATATGGTGAATCGTCACAGTATGTGTCTCAGTCGCTTAGTGGAGACATCCAAAGAGGTTGAAGCTCTTCAGCAAGAGAACGGACAGCTCCGTGCGGTGAACAAGGAGTTGCAGAAGAATCTGAACCTCCTCGTTCAGGCTTCGCTGGAGAATCGATTTGGCGGTGGCGACTCCTCCATCCAGACACATTCTATTCCATTTGATGCTTTGCACAGTTTCCGTTGTTTGAATCTTGGCGATGGAAAAGAAAACTGTGCTGATTGGAATACCAATAACATCAATCATAATAACAAGGAGCTTCTGGAAGCTTCGGATGAGAGTCCAACGAGTGTGATAGACAATAACGGTGTTGAAACGGAGAGGTTCTCGCTTCCGAAAAGCATTTCTGTGAGATCCAATGGCTACTTGAAGATCGCTCAGCCTCCCGCCGTCGTAACTAACAATAATGCTTGCCGCACCAAGGGCGGTACCCGCTCCCGCGCTTCTTCCACTCAACCAGATCAAGTTGTAAGCACGCGCACGTTATGATTGCTTTAATTTATCTATTTATTTTATTATTTATTTATTTATTTATCTATTTATTATAATTACTGCTATGCTATTATTATATTGTTGCTATTGTTGTTTCATCTAGGCTTAATTTAACTTGTGATTATTGTTTTTTCCCGTTATGTACCGAACTTGACCTGCTGCCAGTAGCTTAATTACTTTCCTTCCAAATGAAGTAAAACCTTGCTTGTCTGCGTCATTGCCTGTTAGTTAGTCATGTTGCTGGACCACAGTCGCTCTATTTGCTATTTTTGTTGACATTTTTGGTGCCAATATACTCTCTGCTTGTTATCATGCTCCAGTTATGTTAATTCTTTTTCACACATCTCTACAAATGTTTGGAATATATAAGACTAACTAGATTAGGAAAATAGACGAGTCACACAACATCTACATTATATCTGGTAGTGGTTTGTATTACCAACTTTTTATAGCTAAAATCAATTGATTCTGCAACACTGCATCTGCGATTTTGGTACTGTGAATGTTGATTATTAATGGTTAGACTGGTTTTACATGTAACAAGTAATGCAGGGCAGAAATATATGTGACTTAATTGTTTTTATTTAGTTGTTTGGGTTTGTAATCATTGTTGATTATTGTTGAAATTTTATGTGTTGCTATGCTGCAGCAAAAAGTATATGTGAGAGGAGGGCAGAAAGAGGAAGAGCCTCTTGAGATGACTGTGTATAATCAGGGGATGTTCAAAACTGAATTGTGTAACAAATGGCAGGAAACTGGCGCATGCCCTTACAGTGATCACTGCCAATTCGCTCATGGTATTGGGGAGCTTCGCCCGGTGATTCGCCACCCACGCTACAAAACTGAGGTATGTAGGATGGTTCTTGCTGGGGTTGTTTGTCCCTATGGCCATAGATGTCATTTCCGTCATGCACTTACTGAGCAAGAGAAAGCTATATCACAATCTACGCCCAGATCAAGGAAGCTGGAAAGATAAGTAGTCTCATGGAGTTGTTTGTTTGATTCAAAACGTATACAACAGTACATAATAATATTCTTGATTGTGTAATTACCAATTGAGGTCTAGAGCATGATTCTTGAGGAGAATATGGTCGCTCATCATGTCTTTCTTTTTCCTCCCCTGTAAGTTTGACATTTTGAATTTTGAACTCTACATACATACGTCTATATTGGTCCCAACACAGCGAACAAAGTACTATGTGAAATAATACTTTCTTTTTTGATAGTTTTGTAATGATACTCCTTCGATACTTTACATATTAAGCAATTCCTCATTGTGTTTGTAATATGTTGCTAGTGGTCTATTTTTCAATGTTTTATACTTTTTCTTAAAGATATATAGTATCTATATATATTTACGCATAGTTTATCATGTAAGCTTTTTTATATTATTTCCGATTAAAAACCACGGGTCTATGAAATAACAAAGTTTGACGTGTCATCTTCCAAAATACTATTTAGGATTAAATATGTTTTTATCTTTATAAATATTTTAAATTTCATTTTTAATTTTTATTTAAAAATAATAAATTTTAGTCTTTAAAATTTTTTTTTTTCATCTAATTTTAATCTCTTTTATTTTCTAAAATTTTAAAAACTATTTAATTATTCTTAAATTTTTAAATGTTTGAATAATATTTTTCATACGTGTTTAGAATACTATAAAATGTTTCTTTATTAAATTTTACAATTTTTTAAAATGAGAAGAATTAAATATGATTTTTTTTTTAAATTTCAAAAGATATTGATAAAAATAATAAAATTTCGACTTAAAAATCAAATTTTAAATTTCTTTTTTTCCAAAAAACTTTTTAGAACGTTCTAAATATATTTACAAAATAATTATTCAAAAATACATATTGATTTAACAAGAGAGATTAAAACTAGGTGCATAATAATTTTGTAGGGACTTGTTTACCGTGGTTATTGGTAAACAACCGCTGATCCTCCAAATGGTTACTTATTTGGTTACTCGCAGGATCGATCAGATTGATCCTAGGACATAGGTTGATTTTGAGGTTTTGATTGAATTGGATAATGATTAAATGACAATAAAATAGAGAGGCTTTAAGTAAATTGCATGAAAAAAGGACTTTGATAAAATAAATTAAGGCTTTAAATAAAGGGCTTCGACAGGAATGTAAAGAAGAAAGCAAGTAAAGTTTCTGGAAAAGTAAATGACTTTGATTAATAAAGTTGGTGTTTCACACATACATTTCTCAACAATTCTTTCTCACACGCTGGGTACTCGAATCTATATGAGTGACTTTGTATATAATTGTGAACACACGCGAGAAACTGCGTGAACTACTACTATTTATACTAAAACATCCCAAGTAACTGTCGGGCAGTTACACTGCTTCGAGATGATCCCACTTGGCACGTTCTCAACGTTCGACGCTCCAGATCTTTGCACGTTGCACTTGGTAACCGCTGGAAACCGTTTTCCCTCCAAATGCTTGAATTTCAAACCGTTCCACTCTGTATCATCGAACATCTTCGTCGAGAAGCATCTTCGACGAGAAACACCTTCGACGTCGAAGGCAACCAACCTCTCCCTTGGAAGAAATCTTCTAAGTACATTGTCATCTTTCGATGGGTATTTCGACGGACCTAGCTGGTCGAAAACAACCTTCAGCTTTAATGGCTGACCTTAATGAAACAAGGGTGTCGAATTTAAGAGCCAACAAATTGCCCCCCAAGAATGCCTTATTTCGACTCTGAAAGAAAAAGGCATTCTTTGAAATGCCATTCGACACCTGTCTTTTCATTTTTTAGTTACAAATTAAAGTGTGCACTTTTTGTTGTCTCCTACCAACCACTGACAATCCCAAGAAAAACCATCATTTATCCGTACCTAAGACGTCACCTCAGTACGGCGTGCAGTGTGCCAAACGTCATTTCACAAATTGTCATCATGACAATTCCCAAAAACGAGGGCGCACGCTGCACCCTTCCATTTCTGCAGAACGGCTAAAACAACAGGGAGACGCCACGTGTCCCACTACCTTCTGCAACATTAAATGGCATTTAATGTCCTCGAATTTGGGGATTTCCCCCACTACTATAAATAGCAGTAAGTACCCATTTGTGGGACTTTTTACGCTACCTTGCTTTCAGAATTCCTCCTTTGCATACAAACTCTTGTCAACTTTGCAAACCTTTTGATTTTCACTTCATCTTCAACCTCGTTACCAACAATGGCATCTGGTTCTTCCAACTCTCCTAGCGCCAACACTCCCTCTGGAAATGTCAAACCTAGGGTTTTCGCCACCGCTCTAGTAGTGACTCCCACGGGCCAACGAAGGGTCCCTGAACCTTTAGACATTGCTGTACGTGATGCTTACTCACGCCACCTTATGATTCCGGTTGGATATTCCAACCAGATCTTTGCTATGTCTGGCCCATTGTACCCAAGTATTGCTGAGGCCATGAAGATCAAAAGTTATTTTCCGGTAGTTGAGAGACTCAAACCGGTTGCATGCTCCAAGAAAGATGCAGAGGATAATGAAGATCCTGCTAAAGAGAAAATCGACCTCCGTTTCTTCAACAAAGGTGTTAGGGCTTTCAGGTCTGGCCCTAGCCTCACTCCTGATTATAGTGCTTGGCTGGAAAAAATGGAGAAACGCCAAGCTTCGATCTGGAAAGACATGGGGATATTCGACCTGGTTATGCTGTCGAAGACAAGTCTTAACTATTCCCCAGAGATGTTGATAGCTTCTTTACTCTTCTAGGACTACACCCATTTCACCTTCCATCTTCCCTGTGGAATGCTGACTCCCACACTCTTCGATGTGGCCGCCATCACTGGCCTTCGACCCACTGGGGACTACTTCGACCCGGAGGAAATGTCGGAGGATCAGATTGGATTCTCTGCCACAAAACCAACCTACACCACCTTCATCAATCACTACCACGACAGGTCGACAGATGCTGTGTCGGATGTCGAACACATTGCGTTTCTAGCCTTATGGCTGACACGCTTCGTGTTTTGCTCCAAGTCCTTACAGGTGACCAAGAAGATGGTCACTCTCGCCACTCAACTCCATCATGGCCAAAATATCTGTTTGGCAGAATTGATTTTGGCTAGCCTGTATGAGTCGATTAGCAACGGAGCGACTCTTCTGAAGATTATCGAGAACAGAGCCAGCCTGCTGCTTGCTGGACCTTTTTGGCTGCTTCAACTATGGCTCAATGCCACCTTCGAGTCCTTCTTGCCTAAGAAGATTCAAATAAATGAGCAGGCTCCAGAAATAGCAAACAGACGCGTCGAAGGCACTAGATTGGCTCTGTTGACTCCAATGGAAGATGGGCTGGAGCTTCAACAAACTTTTACAAACTTCGTTCTGATGTTTGCTAGAAGGAAAGAGTTTGTTTCGACTATGGCTCCGTTTGCTCGACGGAAGGTTGGGCCAGAGTGGTTCACAAGGCCACATCCTAGGACGTCGAGTGGTCCTCAGGTTGACGAACATACAACAATGTGGGAGGCATTCCTCACACCAAGAATAATGCCCCTTCGATTCAGGAGCTCTAAGACTCACTTGAGTCTTATTGCATATCAACCAAACCTGGTATCTCGCCAGTTTGGTATTATTCAAACGCTACCTTCTCCAATTTTTCCAAGGGAGAAGTCTATGTTATACTTCTGCAACGACTACACTGAAGAAGCTGCCACTAAGCATATCAACAGATATGCTGGTCGAACAGTTCTTTCGTTGTTTGACTACCAGCTTAACTTTCTTTGCTCACCATCCTTCGAGGAGTGGTGGAAAAGTTACTACGCTGAGGAGTTTTTCGACGAGAAGGACTTCGTGGATGAGCTTCAGAAATCTTTTGTCCTTGTCTTGGACAAAATAAAGAAATGTAAGTTCATCCTTTCAAATTACTTTGTCTTTATCTTTCGACTGCTAGCCTGTTTAATTATTTTGTCTACTTTCAGTTGTTCGAAAGCCTGCAGCCAAGAAGGCTGCAGAAGGCCAACAGGGAGGAGGCCCCTTAACAAAACCTCCACCGCCGACGAAGACTATAGCGCCGGCGAAGACCACAACAAACCAACAGGGGGAAGGCCCTTCGAAAAAGGCTTCTGCATCGGTAACCAGACTTTCATTATTTTCTTCTAGCTTTAATTTTTGACTTTCGATGCAACTGCTAAATCGAATTCCAATTGGTTTGTTAGGTACCTTCGCCCAAGAAACGGCCAGCACTGACGGTCGAATCCGGGAGCGATGAAGAAGATGATTCTCCCCCTGCTCCTCTAAAAAGGCGAAAGCTGAAGAAGGACGTTCCTCTTCCTGAGGCTGCTGGTCGAACAATTAGAATAAAGGTCGCTGGGAGAAAGCCCAGGCCACCTCCAGTAATCATTGAGGAGCCAACGGAGGAGGAATTAAACGTTCTTCTCAATAAGCCTGTCGAAAGCGACAATTCCAGCCCTGGGGCTGAAGCTAATTTACAGGTAATCTCTTAGATCTCTTTGTAACTCAGGTGTCGATACCTACATTCGACTATGTCTCTTTCGAATTTAGAAGACTCTTCTTCTTCTCTTTTCAGGACACCACTGAAAGCTCAGCGCCAAGGACTTCTGAAACATTGGAGTCTGCTGAACTCAGCAGGCCACAAGAAAAAGACTTGGCGAACGATGAAGCCCATACTGAAATAAATGAGGCCAATGCTGAGACGGCAGAAAAACCAGCAGAAGATCCACAAACAGAAGAGCAACAGCCAAAAGAGATTCAGGTGGTGGATCTGTCGGAAGAGAATCGTGACGAAGGGGACCACGGCAACGCTGGCGAAGAGGATCAAGGTGCCGCTGGCGAAGGGAACCAAGATGACGCTGGCAAAGGGAACCATGATGACGCTGGTACTGCCGCAGTCCGAGTCGAAGAAAGTCCAGTCGAGGTAAATGCTACTCAACAGCCTCAAACCCAAGACAATGCTGTTGCGAAGGCTGTTACCTCAACAAAGCACAGGTCGAAAGAG